AGTGACTACCATGGACGGGTGAGGGGCAGAACTACACCTGTAGTGACTACCATGGACGGGTGAGGGGCAGAACAACACCTGTAGTGACTACCTTGGACGGGTGAGGGGCAGAACAACACCTGTAGTGACTACCATGGACGGGTGAGGGGCAGAACAACACCTGTAGTGACTACCTTGGACGGGTGAGGGACAGAACAACACCTGTAGTGACTACCATGGACGGGTGAGGGGCAGAACAACACCTGCAGTCACTACCATGGACGGGTGAGGGGCAGAACAACACCTGTAGTGACTACCTTGGACGGGTGAGGGGCAGAACAACGCCTGTAGTGACTACCATGGACGGGTGAGGGGCAGAACAGCACCTGTAGTGACTACCATGGACGGGTGAGGGGCAGAACAACACCTGTAGTGACTACCATGTACGGGTGAGGGGCAGAACAACACCTGTAGTGACAACCATGGACGGGTGAGGGGCAGAACAACACCTGTAGTGACTACCATGAACGGGTGAGGGGCAGAACAACACCTGCAGTGACTACCATGGACGGGTGAGGGGCAGAACATATATACACCACCGTAAACCACGAACATGAAGAAGACACAACCATGATCGGCAACCGCGGGAGGCAGGTGTACCGACCATCCGGCCTCGAATCCTCTCCCATAACCTCAGTTCCAAGTACAAAGGCGAACCTTGTACCTGTGTTTACAAAGTGCACCCATATGTACTCTCCCTCGGACGCCCTCCCCTCCCTTCTCCCCCCCCCTTTCTCCCCCTTCCCCTCCTGTCTCCCCTGCCCCCTCCCTTTCCCTCACCCTTCCTGCTCACCCCACTACCCAACTCCTCCCCTCTACTTGGCCGCCGCCAGGGGAGAGGCGCAGTAGTTCTGGTCAACACTAGTTAGTTCCTACAGTAATGGTCTCCGGATGCTTCATAGGAATTATAATGAAAGGTAAAAATGTTCCTGTCAGGTGGAGACTGACTGGGGCCAGCTGGGGAGGGGGGGAGGGGGTCTTGGGGGAGTGGGGGGATGGAGGGGGGCGCGGGGTCTTGGGGGTGTGGGGGAGTGGGGGGAGCTCGAACAGTCGTGAGAGGAATGAGGTTCAAGCAGCCGGAGGAGTAGCAATAGTCGTAGTAGTAGTGGTGGTAGCAGTAGTACTAGTAGTAGTGATAGTAGTAGTGATATTAGTAGTTAGGTGGTAGTAGTGGTAGTAGGGATAGTAGTAATTGAGTAGTAGTAGTAGTAGTAACAGTAGTATTATTAGTAATGATTGTAGTTGCTATTGTTGTATTGGTTGTGGTAGTAGTACTTGTGGTATAACAGGAGTGGTGGTAGTAACACTGGTCGTGGTCGTAGCTATGCCAGTGGTACCAGTTACCAATACTGCCGAATAGTAGTAGTAGTAGTAGTAGTAGTAGTAGTAGTAGTAGTAGTAGTAGTAGTAGTAATGGTAGTGGTGGTAGTACAAATAATAATAACAAGAGGATGGTTGTACTATCAGGAGGGCGAGGGATGGTGGTTGTATTGTGGTGGGGAATATTGCAGTGGTGGAAAGCACTGTAATAGTGGTTGAGGAGGAGGAAGGAGGTAGTTGTGGTTGATGCCATGGCGATGGTGGTTGAGTTGCGATGGTGAGAAATAGATTTTGGTTAAGAGATTGTGGTGGAGAGATTGTGATTTTGAGGAGCAGAAGCGGACACCGTCGAGAGTGGCGGTGAAAGTGAAGACTCAACCGCTGATAGTGACGATAACGACAATGACAAGATAGCAACAGTGTCCTAATTCATGAAAATACAAAACAGACAGATTCAATGTTACAAAATACACCAAGCTCCCGTGCATGAAATAACTAGGGTAAGATGTATCACTTCATACACTATATCTTCACTTTATCTCTGCTAACTCACAGGCTCACTATATCGTCTGTGGAGCGGGGAGTGTTAATCACCATCACCATCCACACACACCATTCTCTGCATGTGTCACCAACGTACAAAATACGAAATGCTAACCTTTCCACAAACGTACGACCCCCAAGCCACCCTCCCAACCTCACCATCTGATACATAGAAAACGGGGATATTTGTGAGCTTGTGCTTTTCATAGAACTTTGTAATGTGTATGTTTGGGGAGAGAGGGGGGGGACCATTACGTACAAAATGAGACGTACTAATTGAGAGGACGGCTACAGAGCTCCATCGTCTTCTGTTTTGCCAAAGAAAGCTTCCGATTCACACTAATCTGATATCCCTTGTGCCCCTGCATGGGATCCCATCCCAAGATTTGCCAATCCTGGTTTCCTGTTACCCAGTCTAATGGATGGGGAGGGGGGGAGGGGGAGACATAACCAGTCAGATAGGGGATGAATACCTAGCTCGAATTTAAAGGTGGTGTAACACCGCTCTATTGTAACACCACTCTAAAATGCACCACCACTATAATGAACCACTATAATGGAACACCACTATAATGGAACACTAACTTATCCTGAGTAACACTTCCTCATCGGTTGCACTTGATAACACTGTTATGAAACACGGTAATGTGAGCTGACATATGATGGTTACACCGGAACCAAAAGATACACTGCCAATAAGGAAATGCTAACACCAGGATTAAATACGCTGCCACCATCTGCCTTTGACCATTGAAACTATATCAAGCAACGAGGCAAGAAACATTGCTTGACTTGGAGAGTACTTTCTAGGTCTGTCATTAACTAAGGGACGGTTGTCAGCCAACTATATCCAAAAGGCTAAGAGGATTCAACAATTGACACAGACGGGAAATTTAAAAAATGAGTTTATTGAGACCAAAATTATGTCAATCACCACTTATAATCCTACTCTAACACTGGCAAAAAGTTAGGAAATTTGGACATGGAACAAAACTTCAGAGATCACACACATTACCTTAAGACCTGTCTCTCCCTGGCTGAGGTGTTCTTCACACAGCCCTCTCTGGACCCCGGTGTCCGGCACTCTCCGTTTCCTAAGTCCCTACAGGCCCTCTATATACAACCCCCACAGGGGGGAGGGGGAGATCTGCTGTTACTACCTGCCCCAAGAGTGTACAAACCCTCAAGAAATATTTCAATAAGCTTGTTTGACATTCACCATTCACTCTTCAAGAGAGGAGTTATTAATTACGTGTGTGACTGACCTCTGACCTGGCCAAAAAGGGGAGAACCATGGATGTTTACACATAAGAGTCTGGAGTCTAATTTCCTTGCATGAAATATTACATACTTGAAACTATGCTGACTAAGTCTTAACCCAGGAATTTTTAATCAATATACAAGATAAACCGGAGGTCATCTGGGCTGACCTCTTGGAGAAGGCTTCCCTGGGTGTGAACTCTTAAGGGGGGGGAGGTCACGGGTGTTACAGCGGGGGGGGGGGAGGAAATCATCAGGGTGAAAGCGCCAAGCCATTGCAACTATATAACACTTGCAAGGGGTCAGGATAAGGACTGAGACGGGGAGGGAAGGACTGGTGTCCAACCACTTGGGCAGTTGGGGATCGAACGCCGACCAGCATGACGCGAGACACCAAGCCAAACGGGAGGATGAACAACTAGCCAGATTGGATAGGAGCGAGAGAAGGGGGGTGTGACCCACCTAGCTAGATGGGGGATAAGGGGAGTGAATGAACACCTAGCTAGATGGCTGGGGATGAGACACACACCTATAAAGATGGAGAGACGGTCTGATTGTAGTCTGACACGATCGGTGATGATGATTCCCGTCAGCCCTTGAAGAGCTGTCCTCAAAAACACTTCATTCCATTTGGGTGGGTGAGCTGTGGGAGGGCAGCTGTGGGAGGGTAGCTGTGGGAGGGCAGCTGTGGGAGAGCAGCTATGGGAGGGCAGCTGTGGGAGGGTAGCTGTGGGAGGGCAGCTGTGGGAGAGCAGCTATGGGAGAGCAGCTATGGGAGAGCAGCTGTGGGAGAGCAGCTGTGGGAGGGCAGCTGTGGGAGGGCAGCTGTGGGGAAGGCAGCGTTGTCACTGCTGGAGGCCTCTCTCCATAAACACTACAACGACTCCATCGACTCAACCAGCATCAGTACTATCACTATAACCGCCACTTCCTCATCATCATCATCATCACCATCGCCACTGTCATCACCGCACCAGCTGCCAGCCCTCCGGCCGGGCATGCCGGTGTTCTACCCAACACGGAGCCACTACACTGGTTTTGCCTTCACATACTTTTCTCTCAGCTTTTCAATCACTTTAATTGTTCAGAGCACCAGAGCTACACCCCTTCAGGAGGTACCCTTCAGGTCTTCACCCCTCAGGGCTACACCCTTCTGGGGTACACCCTTCAGGGCTACTCCCCTTAGGGCTACAATCTTCAGGGCTACATTAAAGGTCTGTTCAGAAAATACTTGTGCCGGGGAGAGCTATTTTTCCTAATTTCTTTTGGCGGTAAAATACCCACTATCTTTACACCAGACCCATTGTGTGTGTGTGTGTGTGTGAGAGGCCTGAGGTGTACCTGCGTGCGGGCTAGCTGGCACTAGGTACTTACGGAAGGTCACTCGAGGTATATACTTATGAATTCATTTTCTCGACGGTTTCAAAGATATTTGTTCACCCTAACCTAATATTTCCAGCAACTTTGGTTATCTTAAACGCACAGTTTTTTTGTTTTCACGGTCGCGTACAAGCCGCTGATAACCGCTCTTTTTAGAAGGGTTGTGCGTCCTTATGGTCGCAGTCGGCTCGCCTTCAACCCGACGTCCCTCCACCACTAATGGCACATTTATTAGCGAAACACGAGGCTGGTTCGTGGGGTTTTTGAAGGACACGCTGTTAATTACGGCTCTTCCGCGCGCCCTCACCGTCACAGTTGGGTCCCGACCGGTAGGTAGCCCCCTCGTCCTCTGGTGATCCTCAAGTCGGTGTTTTTCTGGAGCAGGAGACGGTCGCAGAGTCACTTGGAGCGACTCCAATATCCCCCACTTGACTGTTGCTTCACGCTCCACCGCTCACCACTGGACCCTCGTTGTGTGTGTGTTAAGGCGTCACGTAGATATCATTTATGCAGGCTGCACTGCCGCTAATGACGCCTGGAGTGCACACATGTGGTCAGCTGGTTCACGCTACTGAGGACGCCGGGGCTGACATCTTCTCCGCCAGCATCTCATCTCACAACCTCCGGGCGAAAGGGGGTTATGAGACTCAAGGGCCTTGGCAGCGGGTTTAGTATGCTGCCCGCGGTGTTGTGAGCGTTGTGTCTCCTCTACACACGGTTTACGCTCTTTTATATGTTTTTGTAAAAGTTTTCTGGCGTACCAAGATGACCGACGATGCCTTTGTTGATTGTATTACAATCGAAAAGGCAGTTTACTTGGAATTCCAGGAAGGACCGTGCCCATCTTGCTCGAAGGCGCCGGGGAACTTCGCGGGGCTTTTGACTCCGCCCACCAACCAATCAGCATAGGAGGGGGCGGAGCGACGGGCGGTGACGTCACGCCGTCAATTCCTCCCCAGCATGTCACGAGTAAACTCCAGTCTTAATGATTTCTCCCCCGCCCGCGACCACGCCGGGCGGGCGACGATTCTGCGCAGTAATGGGACCCGTCCGCGACCGCGGGAATGCCAAGGCGTTTAAACCAACCTTCTTACATCCGAATCGCTACGTAGATCGCGCGGTCGTCATGTTAAACGCATCTGCATCTGCTGGGCGTTCAGTTTACGATCTGTGGACCTGTCCGTCGCGTGGGTTCAACAGCCTCCATGCAAACGTAACACACACACACACACACACACACACACACACACACACACACACACACACACACACACACACACACACACACACACACACACACACACACACATGATAGGAACGTATAAGATACTCAGAGGAATTGACAGAGTGGACATAGACGAAATGTTCACACGGAATAGTAACAGAACGAGAGGACATGGATGGAAGCTTGAAACTCAGATGAGTCACAGAGATGTTAGGAAGTTTTCTTTTAGCGTGAGAGTAGTGGGGAAATGGAATGCACTTCAGGAACAGGTTGTGGAAGCAAATACTATTCATAATTTTAAAACCAGGTATGATAGGGAAATAGGACAGGAGTCATTGCTGTAAACAACCGATGCTCGAAAGGCGGGATCCAAGAGTCAATGCTCGATCCTGCAGACACAACTAGGTGAGTACAACTAGGTGAGTACACACACACACACACGCACACACACACACACACGCACGCACACACACACACACACACACGCACGCACGCACGCACACACACACACACACACACGCACGCACGCACACACACACACACACACACACACACACACACACACACACACACACACACACACACACACACACACACACACACACACACACACACACACACACACACAAAGAGGCCTATGGGGGCCTCTTGGATAGCTGAGTGGATAGCGCTCTAGACTCGTAATCCTAGGGTCCGGGATCGATCCCTGGTGATGGCTGAAACAAATGGGGCAGCGTTTTTTTCACCCTGATGCCCCTGTTACCTAGCAGTAAATAGATTCCTGGGAGTTAGGCAGCTGTTACGGGCTGCTTCCTGTGTGTGTGGGGGGGGATAAAATAGCTAGTAGTTAGTAACAGTTGATTGATTGACAGTTGAGAGGCGGGCCGAAAGAGCAGAACTCAACCCCCGCAAGCACAACTAGGTGAATACAGAATGAGAGGCACACTTCTCGTCGTGTATAATGACTTACTGTAAATATATAGCTCTTGAAATAGTACTTTCTCTGTAACTAGCTGACATTGTAACTATAAGGTGTGAAGTATAGATGAAATTGTTTATGTAATAATCTAAGATGAGTTCTGATAAAGACCTTTTGTGCCCTCTGTAATGCCTTTTGCGCTACCGCTCACAGGATGAGTATAGGGTGCACAATAAACTAGCAGCCTCCGGCAGCAACAATCACTCGTCATGGGGGACCTAAATCATGGACAGATTGACTGGGAATCCAAAATTCGTATGGTGGGGGGCAGAAAGGTGGGGAGCGAAGTAAGTGGAAGTTTTAGAAAGTAATATCTAACACAACATGTAAAGAAGGACACATGAGAAATGGGAGGAGATACATCAAGTCTACTGGACTTGATCATCACCCAGGTTGATGAAGACATTGAGAGCTTAGAGCATGACATACCACCAGTACCAAGTGACCAGTGTGTCCTGGTACTCCAGTTGATTGACAGTTGAGAGGCGGGACCAAAGAGCCAAAGCTCAACCCCTGCAAGCACAATTAGGTGAGTACAATTAGGTGAGTACATGGTGGACCTGAGGACAGTGGCCATAAGATAAGGTGTCAGGGAAGGGAGAGCAGACTGTTAAAAAGGAGACTACAGGAAAGTAAGAAAGTATCTGAGAAGTGTGCAATAGGAGGAGGAGGATCTCAAGAGGGAAGACGGTCAGGGAAATGATGGACCAAGTTAAACTTAAGTACAAAGAAGCAGAAGAGAGATTCATACCACCATTAAGGGAAAAAAGCAGGAGGGCATATAATAACCCATGGTTCAATAATCAGTGCCTGGAGGCAAAATAAAAAAGCAGGAGCAAGTGGAGGAAATACAGAAGAAAACGGACAGAGGTAAATCTGGATAGATGCAACAGGTCCAGGAATGACTACATAACCATAAGAAGATTGGCAGAAAGAAACTATGAGAATGATATTGCCTCCAAGGCAAAGAGCACACCGAAACTCTTACACAGCCATATAAGAAGAAAAATAAAAGTGAATGACCAAATGACAAGGTTACGAAAAAGGGGAGGTCAGTATACAGACAATGATAAAGATATTTGTGAGGAGGTCAGTGCCAGCTTCCATGGAGTGTTCACTACTGAGCCTGGACAGCTCCCGGAGCTAGATGAGGAAGCAGCCCCTGATGAGAAACTTCTAAATGTTAAGGTAACAGCGGAGGAAGTAAGAATATAGGTGTAACTCTCTGCTTCCTATTGCTTAGGTACTCATCACTAGATGTAGCTAAAGCTACTGGGCCTGATAGAGTATCACCATAGTTGTTAAAAAAAACGGCACAGGCACTCATCATACCTCTAGAGCTAATATTTAATGAGTCCCTTACAAGGGGGTATTGCCCAGCTGCTGGAAGAAGGCTGGTGTGGTGCCAATCTACAAGAAAGGAGATAGAATAAAAGCATTTAACTACAGACCAGTGTCACTCACAAGTATCCCTTGCAAAGTACTTGAAGTAATTATAAGGCTAATACTAGTTGCACACCTAGAAAGACCTGAATTTGTAAGTAAACAACAAGTAAACAACAACATGGCTTCAAGGAAGGGAAATCATGACAGACGAACCTCCTGAAGTTTTATGATAAGGTAACGAAAATAAGGCAAGACAGAGAAGGCTGGGCAGATTGCATATTTCTGGACTGCCAAAAAGCTTTTGATACAGTACCACACAGAAGGTTACTATGCAGACTTGAGAGGCAGGTGGGAGTAGGATGCAACGCTCCCACTCCCCTCCTTACATGAGTAAGAAATTACCTAACGGAAAGGACTCAGAGAGTGACAGTGAGGGGCGAGGAGTCCTCCTGGCGTAGAGTAACAAGCGGGGTGCCTCAAGGATCGGTGCTGGGTCCCATACTATTCCTCATTTATGTGAACGACTTGATTGCATTAGTTGAGTCTTACATGTCAATGTTTGCAGATGATGCAAAACTAATGAGGAGGAATGAGACAGATGAGGATTATAAGATTCTCCAGGATGACTTGAACAGGTTGCAGAACTGGTCCGAGAAATGCCTACTAGAATTCAACACCAGCAAGTGTAAGATGATGAAAATGGGATCAGGAACCAGGAGACCGAAAGGCCAATACACGATGAAGGAAAACTAACTCCCTGTAACGACTAGAGAAAAAGACCTGGGAAGAGACATAACTAACTCCAGAGTCTCATATAAACAGATTAACTTCAGCCGCATACACTACTCTGGCAAAAGTCAGAACATCCTTCAAGAACTTGAATAAGGAGGCCTTTAGATCACTGTGTACCGCCTGTGTGAGGCCAGTCTTAGAATATATCGCCCCATCGTGGAACCCCATCTGAAAGAAAACACTTGAAAAAGTGCAGAAGTTTGTAACGAGAATCGTCCCAGAGCTGCGAGGGATGAGATACGAAGAGAGACTGAAGGAACTAAACCTGACCATGATAGAAAGGAGGAGGGGCGGGGGGGACATGATACAGACATCAAATACTTAGAGGGATTGACAGGGTGGAAACAGAGGAATTTTTTACAATGAATATCAACCGAACAAGGAGGTACGGATGGAAGATTGAGACTCAGATGTGTCATAGAGATGTAAAAGGTTTTCCTTTAGCGTAAGGATAGTGAGTAAATGGAATGACTTACAGGAGCAGGTTGTACAGGCTAACTCCAGTCATAACTTAAAAAGCAGGTATGACAGGGAAATAGGTCAGGAGTCATTGCATTAGACACCCAACAGCTAGAAAAGCGGAGTCCACAAGCTAGAGCTGAATCCTGCAGGCACAAATAGGTGAGTATAAACACACACACACACACACACACCTCGTAGGGGTGTAGCCTGGCTTAGGGGCCTCGTAGCCTGGTGGATAGCGCGCAGGATTCGTAATTCTGTGGCGCGGGTTCGATTCCCGCACGAGGCAGAAACAAATGGGCAAAGTTTCTTTCACCCTGAATGCCCCTGTTACCAAGCAGTAAATAGGTACCTGGGAGTTAGTCAGCTGTCACGGGCTGCTTCCTGGGGTGTGTGTGTGTGTGTGGTGTGTAGTTAGTGTAGTTAGTAAACAGTTGATTGACAGTTGAGAGGCGGGCCGAAAGAGCAAAGCTCAACCCCCACAAACACAACTAGGTGAATACACACACACACATACACACACACATATGTAATACACACATTTAGGTACATCTGCATTTGTGCAGCTGCCCTAGACTATATGAAGGGGAGTACAGTGTGTCAAAAAAGCTAGCTACGTGATGCTAAAAATCCCCATCACACAGGATGGTTAGTCATACAGAGGCATGTGATAAGTAGTCTGCACTGGCAGACTCTGGGTGCATTATGAGGATATCATCAACACAAGAGTGAAT